GCAAATTTGGTCGGTTGCGAATGCAACCAAGAACACGCAGATGATAGACATTTGCGTGCCAGTTATCGCTGCCCACTTTGGCAGCATCAACACAGAGGTGACGTTTCATTCTGCCACAGAAGTAGACAGTCTGTCGTCTTTGTTGAGCGATGATCGACTAGTTGGTGTGGCGGGAGCCGCGAAGTTGCGAACGATTGCAAACTGGTTCGAAGCTGACAGCACTGCGAACAAGGCGAATGTAGCGGCGTTCGTGGACGTCGATGATGATAGTCGTGATGCCACATTCAAGGACCTCATTGGGGCTGTTGATCTTAGCGAGATCACCTCAGACGATTTCTTCGAGTTCTGCATGTCAGACAGTTGGATAAGCCTTCCGAGGGAATTCAGGTGTGGTTTTGCTGTAGACATTTCAAGCGCTTGTCATATTCGATTGGCTGCATTGTTGGGTTTTTTCTTTCACCCTTACAGGGATCTAATCAGCAATGCCTGGAAGGAAGCGAGAAGGATGTAAGTTTGATGTTGCTAAAAGATTCGCTCTGGCAAATTGCGTTTGAATAGTTAACACTATTTCTCAAAAGAGATGGTGTTAGTTTCGTTCTTTCTTAATATAGAGGACCCATTCAGGACTACCTAATAGCTTTAACGTACCATTCTACTCAAGTGACATTTGCTGCATCCAAGTGGAAGGAAATTGAGAAAAAAATCATTCCCAGTGCTCGCGAAGTACTTCCGACTGTAGACGTGAATTTTCGACACACTGTACCATCACGTGTCGGATGCGCAGTTGTCGTGTTGAATGGTGAGTTCACAACCACCCACACTGTGATGCAGATCCTGTCGAAGCCTTGCATTGGAGTTGTGCACGGTGGTGTTTCTTTTTTATCTCAGACAAAATTTATGTGATTGATGGCTGGAATGAGGCAGGACAAGTTTCCAGGCTGGTTGACCGAGTAGACCACTTTGACGGTAGCGTTTCCAGTTCAACGCCGATGGTGCGGGCACGCCGCTTGTCTCCTGCTGCTGCTGCTACTGATGATGATCATGATGATGATGGTGCTGTGAACTGTCAACAGCTCCTCATATTTGGAGGATATAATGGTGGTACCTAAATATCGTCTTGCGGGAAATTCGACCCTGCAACGAACAGGCAAGACTGTGTTACCATAAACACGAGTGTGGCCATTTTATTTAAATATTTTTTTGGATGAAATCTGACAATTCTCAGCCTTAAATGCAATCACACAGTTCCGGCAGATGATTCGTGCATTTAGATATCTGGAAAAACCAACAATGGAAAATAAGAATTCGTCATAAGTTAACCGTCACAGTGAAAAGGATTGTTGACAGTCTGGCTATATGTTCATCTTGCCCCGTCAGAGATGATTAGGAGACTGAGGTGGCATTTGGGACGTGATGATGGTGTTATTTTTGCCCACTTAAGTTGGATCTCATTGCCAGATATGCCCACTCGACTTGAGAATACTGGTGCGGTCAGTGTTCCTGTCGTGGTTGGTGGCTACATCTATATTAGAGGCACCTTAGACACCGCAGAACTGCTCTCATGCAGCACGGCGGACAACGGCGTCGAGAACTGATCGTGGCGCCGACTTGCGCCAATGATGAAACCTCGCACTTATCCTGGTGTCGCCTACTTTCGCGGTCGCGTCGTCGTTGC